ATAAGAGACAGGAGGAAAAGAACGTAGTTGAATTTGTGTTAGTTGTGTTAAAATAATCAAGTGCTGACGGCAAATCTTAGGCAGAAAAGATAGAGGGAGATGGAGCCTACTGTTTCGGATGCCGGCTTGAATTTTTTGTTTACTTCTCGGTTTTAACCACTGCTAAATGTGGATTTTGTGCGAGAACCCCATGGCGGTTGTTCCATTGTTCCTAGTTTGAACGTAAATCTTAGTTCTGCTGCTTGTGGAATTTTTTATTATTATTTTTTTTTTTTTTTTTAAAAGGACCTTTCCAGGTACCTTTTACGCCTGAAAAAATGAAGCCTTTGTTTTTTTCAGTCAATTATACCTAATATTGACATTCTGTTTGGTACAAGAGACTTAAAGTGCTGCCTCACTCAGAGGACCATTAAAGACTTTCTCTTTCGCTACATGTAGCTGAATGTGTTACTGCACATCCTTTCTCCCCCCCCAAACCTTCCGAAAGATTTTCAAAAATGAAGAAATTTAATTTTCGCAAAGTTTTGGATGGTTTAACTGCCTCATCCCCTGGTGGAAGCAGTGGTGGTGGCAGTGGTGGTGGAAGTGGGGCTGGTGGTGGCTCCACGCACCCAGGAGGGACTGCAGGAGCTGCAGGGACACCCAGAGATGAGATCCAGGAGACGCTCACTTCGGATTATTTTCAAATTTGTAAGGTAAGGGCTGGGTTTTTTTCTTTTGTTTCTTTGCTGTTGTTTTTGTTTGTTTGTTTTTTACTATGGCAATAATAAAAGCTACGCTCTGTGTGTGGGCAGTAAATTGATTCCAATCAGCCTTTTACTTGGGAACTGCAGTGGTTGTATAAGGACTTTGGAATGAAAAGAGAGAGATCTCGTTGGTGCTTTTTTTTCCTCCTGCTGCGGAGTTGGGGTGATAAGTAAATTAATAAAAATCTTGATTTCAGCCTTCAGGACCAAACCCTAAGTTTACACTTGGATCTCAAACTAGTAACAAGATCGCGGGCAGGAAAGCAAATCAATTGGTGCTAGTACAGACAACATTTACAAATCATTAGAAATTCAAAACTGTTTCCATCTACTTCCCCTCCTCACTCTTCTCAGCCTCTCTTCCTTCCCCTTTTTAAGAAAAAGGCATAAGCTAGAAATACAGTGCAGTGCTTACTGAACCTAGCTCTTCAGATGTTTGTGAGGGTTTGGATGTAAATTTAGGGCGTTTTTTTAGCATTAGTACTGAAGAATGTGATTGTATGACAGTAAACTTTGTAGGACAGCATAAATACCAAAAGTTGCCAAATTTGTTTGGCATCAGTTTTTATGTGTTGGTTAGATCCTTAAGTGGGAATTTTCTTTCAGCAGAAAGCAAAAAATATCCCTGTGTTTTGTATCTGTTTTCTGCAACTAAGCTTTCAGTGGTGTTCTTAAAGACACAAGTAAAATCAGTACAAACTCTTTGGTACTTCTGACCAGCCCTGGAAAATGAAAATTGTACTTTTGTAATGAAGCCCAAAACTGAAAGCAGAGATTATATTATGATCCTCTGTTGTTATCTTTAACTTTGACATTAATTCTGTTGGCTTTACTGGAAGTTTTGTTTGCTTATTTGTTTTGCTGAGAAGCTTCAAAATCAGAATTTTGAATTAGTGCATTTTACATTATTAAGAGTAACCTCACCTATTAAGTATACTTTCCTTTTAATAACCAGATACAAACTGATTTGAAATTTAGGTTATGACCAACTCCAGCACTTTTCTTTCTGTGTTTTGTGAAGAAGCAAGTAATACAAACAAACAAGACAAGCCTACAAGACAGTTTGTGCACAGATGTGGTCCTTGTGAAACACACAGCTTTCTTGATCTCAGATATCATGATTCTGATTTCAATTGGTTTTCAGCTACAGCTGGTGGCAAAACTCTTACAGAGTTAAGGGGAAGAAAGATGAGCCCCCATGACTTTGAGTCGAAGACCTTTGGGAATAGGTTCTACATAATTCTAAATTTCTGGAGGTTTTATAGTTCTTTGCCATCCTGAACCAAAACAGGTTCAGGCCTTTTGCATCAAATTATTCTGTAGTTTAATAGACTGTCAGTGATCAGTGCATTAGAATCATACTTGTTTACCAGGGTTGAGTTTGACTCCTTTTGCTTCTGTACACAGTAATTTAGCATTTTGTGAAAGTCCAGGTATTCACTACAGAGATTTCTTTTTTTTTTTTTTTTTCTTTTCAGTAAAAGAATAATGCAAATAATTGAGATACATTAAAATATCATTGGAAGGTCTGACATTGTGAGACTTCTAAGTGAGGCTGAAAGTTAACATGGTTTTTCATGTTTAAGTCATTCGATTGGGACAGAGATCTGTATTTAGTATTATAGGTTTTTATTTTGTGTGGTATATTTGGAAAAATAGGCAACATAAGATGCAAGAAATTATTTTTCTGCCTAATCACCATTATTTCCCTTCTTTGGCTTCATATTACTTGAAGACAGTTGGTGTTATGTTCTGATAGATCTACTTGGAAATAGATCTGATAGATCTACTAGGAAACAGATCTCCTTGGTGTATAGGGATATGTCATTTTGAGAAGAATTCACTAAGCAGTATTTGCCTGTCTTAGCTCTCAGGTTAAAATGTTCTCAACAAAGTAAATATTTGTATAGGAAGTATTTTGGCTGCTTGCAGCAGCACTTGCTTATGAATGCATGGTACTGCAGAAGTCTACTCTCTAGTATACAAAATACCAGCTTCCTTTTTTCAAGATACAAGAGTATGCTAAAAGCAAGCTTCCAAAATACTCAGTTTCTATGTGCTCACAAGATACTGCAATGTTTATTCAACAGGCTCCACTTAATCAACTGGATTACAGTTTAGGAACATTACAAGCATGTTTGAGGGAACCAGCAAAACCCCACAGGCCCCAGTCCTGCATTTTGTACTGTGCAAGTGTGCTGAAGGCAGTGGGACTCAATGCAGGCGCAGCTTTCATCCTGCATGCTTCAGGGTGCAGGATCCAAGCCATAATTTGTTACCTCAATCAATCTGGATTAAATTAAAAATACAGTAAGACACATATAATGCAAGCTTTCTCTTCCTTGAGCTTTTGTTGTGTAGAACTTGTGGTATTTCAATTGTGTATTTTCATGTTAAGTTACATAAGTTACATAGGCTGCATATTTAAGGATCCATGATCTGTGATCCTGCTGCACGCAGAGCTGAGTAAAGCTAATGGCAGTTTTGGTTTGTTATGATCTGCAGGATCGAGGCAGATGGGCTCAGAGTCTAAGTAGCACCCCAAACTGGTTTTCCTTTCTTTACTGATTATGAAATCTGCATTTAGATATGAAACATAAAAGCTGACTCATACTTAAGAATTAAAGGGCCTTACCCTGCAATTTTTATTTAAATACATTGCTTTCTGAAGTTTGTGGGAGGTCTGCTTGACTAAAACCACAGATCCAATCCTCTACCAGAAACGTTGTTTATACTGGTAATGCACCTGATTTCATTACTAACACACCTGAAAGCTGTCTCTCCATTTTGTGACATTTTTTGGATGCTCATTTCCACAGTGTCTTTTTGAGATATAGAGTAGAACTTAATAGAAGTAAATTGAATATTTCACTTTACACTGACATGTTCACAATGAGTTACTTTTGGAATTTATATTTAAATCATTAATGTAGTCTTCTGTATTGAAAGACTAAAAATGAAATGTTCTCGAAACACATTACATATGAAATAGCTACAGCCTTTTTTAAACATGATAAATTTATATGTTGGTAGCTGTACTAATGTATCAGTGGCACCCTTGTCAAAGTAGTCATGCAATGTGAAATTTTGTCAGAACTGTATTTTGTGACAACAGGAAGCTGAGGTATAGTTTATGTTATATCTAGGGCTGCTCTTGGGATTTGGATATCCAAATGGAAATCATGAAAATAGCAATTACAGTTCACATTAATTGAATGTGTGAGATAGTAGCATCATGCCAAAAGCTAAGCACAATCCAGTAGAATATGTTAGTAAAGTCTATATTAATTTTAATGGGGATAGACCTAGTTTCCTCATTTTTACTTCTTTATATTTTCCCTCTGTACATATGTTTTTTTTTCTGGCTAGGATTTTTTTAGGTTTGCCTATGTTTGTCCATAACATATAGAAACTAAAAATACAGCACTGGGGAGAGATCTCCTATTGATACAGGAAGCGAGAAAATCTCAGTTAGGATGCTGTAAATCATTTGAGTAGAACTTTGAGCAGGAAGAACATAAAAGGAGAAAACAGTGATTTTTATTACTTTTGCAGAAGGTTGATTGTTAGGGGATGATGCAGCTGCGAAAAAAAAAAAAAAAAAAAAGAATAAGAATGAAGATGTACATTTTTTTGAACATAGAGTACATATTCACAAAAATAAGTCTCCCATAGAGAACTACCTGAGCTTTTCTTGAAGAACAATCATAGGGTTGATTTTGTAGATGTTAATAACTTGATGCAGAAAATATTTGAAATCGACACCTCAGTTAAGAGCATAGTAACAGTTGCACTTTACTAGACATAGGATTAATCTAGTCCAGTATGTTTTCTTTAGCTATAGGCAGCAAAACCCATGGAGGCCAGAATAGTTTCAGGTTTTTATTGAAACCGGTATGGAAGCCCATGGCCAATTACAGTTGTACCTTTCTAACCCTACTTATCTTGTGACAAAATCAGGCCTTCAAGATGCATCCAATCAGTAGCCAATTTAAATACCTTAATTATCTGGATTTCCTATAAGGTGGTCTTATACTTTAATTCCCAGAGTTTATAGATGGTAACACTTTATTTTGCCAACCTATGAAGATGAGCATTTAGTCCCTCTGACAGCAGTCACTTAAACTGCAAATGCAACATGACGCTACAGTTCAGTGATAATAGAGATGATTTTTTGGAACCACAATTTAAGAACAATTCTGCAGTAGCACATAGTTCTATCTTTGATTATGAATAATAATAATAATAATAATAATAAAAAATCTTTGCTATAAGATACCCCTAGTGTTTTAGTTAGTTGGGTTAATCTGTGTTGTTTCCTTAGTAAGGTTATTCAGGGGAGGAAAAAAAAGTGTGAAGTGCTACATTTCAGAGAAAACCCATTTTAAAGTAAGTATTAACCCTTACTTGTAAGGGTTCAGAGTTCATTTGATACTTAAATGGTAAATAAGAATGTTGGGAAGAATTTGGCCAGTTTAGATCTAATGTTAGGGGCAACCCCCTATTCTGTTTAAAACTAGAGAGTCATAAATGACACTTCTGTAATTAGATGATGGAAACTTTATGAAAGGTGTGATAAGCATAACGTGGTTTTGGTTTTTTTAAATGTTTGTAATAATTAAAAATAGGATTAATCAGTGTTAAAGAGCATGGCACATTAAAAGCTTCATTTTTAAGAATTTTGAAGATTTTAAACGGCCTATAGTAGTATAACTGGACTATCTTGGTTTTTGTTTTTTTTTTTTTCAAATACCTATCTTTTCACATCACTATGTTTGCTTGTTAATCAAATATTAATCCTAAATGCATTAATGCAGACCCTTCATGGCCAATGCTTGCAATTACATCTTCAAAACCATTTAAAGACTTTTAAGGTTGGAAAACAAAGCACTTGAAAGTTCCAAATTTCTTTAATTACATGATCCCATATTTTTTCTATAGGTCTAATT